TATATATATATATATATATAGTCCCTCTGCTCACATGTTACTAATAAATCTACTAAAAAAAAAATTTCCTATGACTGAATATGTCGAACATAATTCTCATACTACTGTCCTTACAAGTAAAAAAAAACAGGAAACTATTTATATTTTAAAAGACGTATACATTAAATAAATTTTTTACTCATTTATTGAACTCATAAATACATAAATTTGAAATTAATGCTAAAAACATAATAAATTGATCTTTAATTTAGGGGTAATCTGGGAAAAAATTTTATTAACTATATAATATATATTGCATTCATTTTGGATTTCATTGCTTGTTATTCTTAACTTCTATTGTAATTTATACACCCTGTTTTCCTGGTTTGCAAGGGCTGTGTGAATGGAGGGACATTGTTGCCCGAGCAGAAGATGAATTATTTTTCCCATTTCTTGAATTTGCAGTTATTTCTACTTGCTACTTCTATTTGGTAAAATGAATTATTTTAGCATTCTTATTTTTCTTAGTTATTTCTGGCACCTTGCTGGTTTCTGCTGGCACCTTGTTGCTGGGTCATATTTTTTATTTTTTTTAAAAAATGCAATCTACATCGGTTCTCAAGAGAACCGATGTAGATTTAAGCATAAATCTACATCGGTTCTCTGGAGAACCGATGTAGATTTATGCTTAAATCTACATCGGTTCTCTTGAGAACCGATGTAGATTGCATTTTTAGCTTCCCCAACCCATGGTGCTGCCCACGGTGTGAATTCCTTGACTGCTTGAGCAACATTTTTGAAAGTTTCAGCAACTTGACTCAAGAAATATGGGTCTTGAATCTTGTTGATAACATCCTTGTCAACACCTTAATTTATTTGGAATAAATATTGTTAGAAGCAAAACAATCACTAAGAGCTAAGTAGTAAAGTGCATGCTATTGCTATTGACAAAAAAGAAAAAACAATATAAATATATCTACATACACTCACACACACATACATACCGGCACCAAGGTTGTAAATGTGGTGGGTCACTCCATCAACCACGCCAGGCCCAACATTTAGTAAGAAGCTTTGAAACCATTCCTTACCATAGAAACCACCGGGGCCTAACACTTTAGGCCTTCTAGAAGCATCTGGGTATAGTAGATTAACTATACGTCTGAGCATAGTGATGTCTTTAGCATATTGAACACTGTCTACTCTGGCTCCTATCCCCTCAGCACATAGCTCATTTCCTATTAAGCATCATAAATCATAATGCACATGGGATCAATCGGAGAAAATAAAAAAAATAACATACGTAGAGATATATATGCATGTAATTCAAATATCGAAGGTTGAATCAAAATTAATTGAAGATTTAATTTAGCTACCCAATTCATATGAATCTATTTTGTATCCTTTTGATATTGTGTACTTCATGAGACTTATGGCATTTTTTGGATTCCAGTTTCCAACCCAGTTCAACTTGTCTTGTATGGAATTTTTCTTTCCAGTGAGAGCATTCAACCCAAAAATTAATTTCACTATGCAAAATACGCAAATAAAGAAAACAAAAAAAATGCATGTCAGAATTGAATGTAGCACGCTACTAACATATATCATGGTACCTCGTGCTGAAAAAAGAATGGTAAAAACTAAACAAGTACCCAATTTTGTTAAAAAACTCATGTACTTCATCCCATCGCATTTTGGGAAGGCATGTTGTGCTGAAACCAAAAAGACCACCTTCTCTCTTCTTGAAATGAGGGCATTTCTTTTGCTTCCCAAATTGGTAAACAATCTGATCTTCCACTGAACCTCATAATCTGATCCTCAGGGGATTAAATGCTGCAAAAGTTTGGAATGATAGGTAATGTGAAATTCATAGACTAATATTGTCTACACATGATCATATGATATATTCTATAGACATTTGACAATTAAAATGTCACATCTTGCCAGATCAATCCTACGAAATCCTAAACCAATACACCCCCCTAAGTCAACTGATACTATATAACTCTTTCATTTTTTTCACTCTTGATTATGTTATTAATGGTCTTTAGGGACTAAAGTAATGTTTTTTAAAATTACAAGAATTAAAAAGATAAATTTTAAATTTTAAATATCAAAATATTTTTTTTATAATTTGAAGAGTAAAAACATAAATTTTAAATTTGGAAGATAAAAATATATATCCCAAATTTGGAGGACAAAAATATAAATAAACCTAATTTTTTTTTTTAAATTTACTTATGTTTATAATTTTGAATATTCTATCAATTCATTGTCAAATCAATTTACATTTAGATTAAAAATCGAGGTCAAATGTTTCTACAGGTTTTCATATTTGTTTAAAAGCATAAAGCTAATATTTCGATTGAATTCAATTTTAACAAATAGAATTGTCTGTGCATTTAGATCTTAATCAAAGCACAGAATTAAAATTTTTAACTCAACTATGGGTTTTTCAATTAGAATGTTGGAAACTATTTGGTTTGATATAAAAAGAATGGCCTACAATTGATTCTTTGATTTATCAGATTTAAAAAATGGAAAATTGTATCAAAATTTTAAGTCTAATTAAAATCGAAATATACTACAAAATTGAAACAATTTCCACTATAAACACATACTAAAAATTTTGATCCATGGCATCTTTCAAATTCCACATACGAATATGTTTATAGCTTAAAAAACTTCAAAGAAAATCACCTTATTAGTTTGTATGAAAATAATATAAAAATATCAAAATTAAGTGATAGGAAACTTAATTCTATTTAAGTCGTTCCAAATTTGAGCTTTATTAATGAAAAATATATTAGAAGATACTTTATCTCATAAATCAATTAAGTCGACTCAACTAAGATTAATCAAAGTCCAATGACTTAGTTTATGAATATCAAGAGTTTCATTAAAAAAAAATGTGTTTAAAGTAATTTGAAAGCCCGGAAGGATTAAGTAGAGTTTTATTTAAAAATAATAATAATAATAAATAATTAAAATAATAAAAAAAAATTTTGAACAATTGGGATACTTTTGTATATGGTGACTTGGTTAGGCACTTTGGATTCCAAGTTAGGTTGTGGGTTGATGGTCTTGTAGGTTGTTATTAGTTTGTTATAAGGCATGGTGACTTGCTAGTGCTTGTGGATTTGCAAATCCTAATGTCTTAATAATATTCACCACTCTTTTAGATTCATGTTATAATAAATTCAATGGATAAGCATGACAAGAAAAGAATTATTTGTGAGAAGGGGGAACCCTTCTAGAGTGAATAAGTAACCTCTTTAAAATAAAAATTAAGTTTATCATTACTTAGTTTATGAAAAAATTACTTTAAAAAGAAATCATTCTAAACTTAGTGATATATATTGAAATTGTGTCATTGGAATGTCTAAATGTCACTAGCCCTCTATAAATGTTTGTTGTATCTAAGATTTTATGGTTTATTTATTTTAGGTTTTTTTCCCTTGATTTGTAAGACACGTAAAAAGTTTATAACGTCTTTTAAGGAAATTGACGTGTATAAGTCTATAAGGATGACATGAAATGTAATATTGGCACCATATAAGTTATGTTGTGAAATGTATTGAAAATGATGTGAATGTGATTACATGTATATGTGTATGAATTTATGTGTTATGTATTAGTATTGTTTGACCTTTTCAATTCATATCAAAGAATATTGTCAAAAATATTTTCACTTCCTGTGTTTGTTTTTTTCTACTTGTTATTTGTGTTGAATACCAACTTTCAGATGAGTATCTAGTTGAATAGGATGAGCATGTTTGAGAAGAAACTTAGGCTTTAGGATTTTTTTTTATAGTTATTTTGGGACATGTTACATTGGAACTAATGAGTAATGTTTTTTTCTTTTGGTTGTTTCAAGTGGGCTTTATAGTTGTATAAACTTATACTGACTTTTGTAAAGATTGTTTAAGTGCATAATTTACTTTATTTATGTTTTTTTATTATAAAGGTTTTTATTCATTAAAGATTGCAAAAACGTGGGCAT